AGGTTGAATATTGATTATACCGGTGCTATTTTCTTTTTCCATTGACAAGATGTACAATTGACGCCTGATGGTTGATATAAATGATATTGCAGAATCAGTTTTCTCCATAGATAGCATTGATGTTTGTTCAGTACTAAAAGGTCCAAGTCCCTCAATTGAATGTAATATTCATTTGACATGTTCACTACATCATAAAGCGCTTCATGGGAGTAATGGCAGGATGATTCCATTGTCCCCTTATGCAACATGAAAGTATCACGATATGTATCGGTTGAGTAAAAAGGTCAACGTTATGCATCCCTACTGCAGTACAAGTACTAACACTGCTGTACAAGTACACATGTTATCATGTGATTGGTCCCTGCTTCATATTTTAAATCTGATTCTTTAGTGGTATGAAGTCATGTGACCTGATGTCCTCTGTGTCTCTGTCTCTCCTCAGGTTGACCACGGCTGTGGATCTTCCTCCAGAGTTCATCCACCTCTACATCTCCAACTGCATCTCCACCTGCGAGCAGATCAAGGACAAGTACATGCAGGTAAACAACAACAACAACAACAACATGTATTATAAAATAACAATACAAACAAAAACCTACTAATTGGGACAGTTAAGTGCCAGCACTGCTTATACTACTCTCTTTGAATGTAGTTCATCTCGTTAGTGTTCTTGTAGTTGATTAAAAAAACATGTTTAATTTTTCGCATAGTTTTTTCTCACTAACTCAAAAAACGAAACAAAATAAAGATTGTGGATTTGGTGAATTTGTACATCCCCAGATTCTAATCGTACAGGTCAGATTCACACTAAGAGTTATTATTGAACCCAAATGAGTCATAGTTTGTGTTTCTGGTGAAGTGTATGTGATTATATGATACGTCACCACAGTTGTTGCAGGTAATCAATGAGGTATAGTTTGTGTTGCAGTCTATAAAGTATATATGTAATGATCCGGGGGTCCTGATAACACCCCCATCAGTAGACTTTGTGTTTCTGGTGAAGTGTAATGTCCTTCTGAATGTCCCCTCAGAACCGTCTGGTGCGCCTGGTCTGCGTCTTCCTCCAGTCTCTGATCCGGAACAAGATCATCAACGTCCAGGACCTGTTCATCGAGGTGCAGGCCTTCTGCATCGAGTTCAGCCGCATCAGGGAAGCTGCCGGACTGTTCAGGCTGCTGAAGACCCTCGACACCGGAGAGACCCCCGAGAGCAAGCCCGTCAAATAGTGATCTCACAGAGACTGTTCCTGAGACTCAGCACCGCCCCTCCATCAGCTGGGAGTAGAGTTCATTTTGTAAATATGTAGTGACTTTAAACCGGTTCTCTCTCTTTTCCAGAAGTTTAAAACAGGACTCGTTTCACCGTCTCATTTTTTTACCACATCTCTTTTTCTTTGGAAATCTCGCCATGTTGTCTCTGATTAAACAACCGATGTTTAACTGACCCCTGCTTGTGCTCTCTTTATTAAATCAGGTGGTTCCACTTCCTGTTTGTAACTGCATGAGACATGTTTATCTGTAGTCATCCACTGGACCCTCGGAGGGGAAAGACCACTCAACTACAAACATGGCGGCTCGTTTAGAAACTTTTTTAATCTTAAAAATACACAAAGTTTAAAACAGGACTCGTTTCACCGTCTCATTTTTTACCACATCTCTTTTTCTTTGGAAATCTCGCCATGTTGTCTCTGATTAAACAACCGCTGTTTAACTGACCCTGTTTCTGCTCTCTTCTTTGGCCCAATCCCAAACCGCCCCCTACACACTACGGCCCACTCCCAAACCGCCCCCTACACACTACGGCCCGCTCCCAAACCGCACACTACCACTACACACTACGGCCCGCTCCCAAACCGCACACTACCCCTACACTCTACGGCCCACTCCCAAACCGCCCCCTACACACTACGGCCCGCTCCCAAACCGCACACTACCCCTACACTCTACTGCCCACTCCCAAACCACCCCCTACACACTACCCCTACACACTACGGCCCACTCCCAAACCACCCCCTACACACTACCCCTAAACGCTACGGCCCACTCCCAAACCACCCCTACACCCTACCCTTACACACTACCCCTACACACTACGGCCCACTCCCAAACCACCCCCTACACACTACCCCTACACACTA